GCTGCGAGAAGACAGACAGAGAGAGGTGTTCGGGGTTTATCTGTCATCCACACCCACCCAGTGTCATCCACTCACCCAGCCTCCAACATCTTCCCATCCTGCATCTATCACCCACCTTTCACTCTCCCAATCACTCATTGTCAGCCCTCCACCCGTCCAACTATCCACCCACCCACCCACCCATCCACCCATCCATCCAACCACCCACCTATCCATCCACCTACCCACCTACTCATCCATCCACCCATCCATTTACCCATTCATCCACCCACCCACCCACCCAACCACCCATCCATCCACCCACCCATTCACTCACTCATCTAGCCACCCACTCACCCATCCATCCACCCACCCATCCATCCACCCACCCACTCATCCACCCACCCACTCATCTGCCCACCTACTCATCCATCCACCCACCCATCCATCCATTCACCCATATACTCACCCACCTATCCACCCAGCCATCGACCCACCCACCCATCCATCCACCCGCCCATTCACTCACTCATCTAGCCACCCACTCACCCATCCATCCACCCACTCACCCATCCATCCACCCACCCACCCATCCATCCACCCACCCACTCATCCACCCACCCACTCATCCATCCACCCACCCATCCATCCATTCACCCATCTATCCACCCACCCACCCATCCATCCATCCACTCACCCACCCATCCATTCACCCATATACTCACCCACCTATCCACCCAGCCATCGACCCACCCACCCATCCATCAATCTACCTATCCATCCAACAACCCATCACTCTACATACCTGCCCACTCATCCATCCTTCCAACCAATCACCCATCTACCCACCCATCCAGCCACCCACCTACACAGGCACCCATCCGTCCGTTCATCCATCTATCCAACCATCCATCCATCCGTCCATCATCCCCGCTCCCAGGGTTGTGTGTCCTTGGCTGAGAACACAGAAGGCTCCAAGAACAGCCCTGGCCCCTGGGAGCTCCTGGCAGGAATCAGAGACTCGTGCCATCCAGAGGGAGGAGGCCGCGCTTGGGGGTGGGTATGTGTCCTGCTCCTCGCCAGAGAGTCTCATCCCCAGGAATCCAGAGATGAGACGGAGCCCAGAGAACAGAGAAGCTGTGGCTGACACAGAGGGGGCCACAGGCTTGGCAGGGCAGGACCCCACATACACCCACGAAGGGCCACTCGGGAGATGCGTATCGGGCCCTTCGTAGCTTCAGCTCAGCTGCACGGGGCCAACCTGGGGCCTTGGTCACTCGGAGATGGGCTGGGTGGGAGTAAGGGCAGATCTGTGCCCGAGCGAGTTCATCGTTTCTCTGGGCCTCACTTGGCTCATTGGGAAAGTGGAAAAGTGCTGCCAAACCCAGGTTTCTGGGGGCCGAAGAGAGCGCAGCAGGGAGGGCATTTGCCTTGCAATTGGCAGACCCGGGCTCAATCCCCAGCATCCCGTAGGGTCCCCTGAGCACTGCCAGGAGTGATCCCTGAGCACAGGGCCAGGAGTCAGCCCTGCGCTCTGCCAGGTATGGCCCACAAATGATGGTTCTTTTTTTTTTTTTTTTTGCTTTTTGGGTCACACCCGGCGATGCTCAGGGGTTACTCCTGCCTCATGCACTCAGGAATTACTCCTGGTGGTGCTTGGGGGGACCATATGGGATGCTGGGAATCGAACCCGGGTCAGCCGCGTGCAAGGCAAATGCCCTACCCACTGTCCTCTCGCTACAGCCCAAATAAAGTTTTTTTTTTTAATTCAGGTTTTTTATCACTTGAGTTTGAGGCTGGAGCAGTAGGGCGTTTGCCTTGCGCGCAGCCAGCCTGGCCGAGCCGGGTTCAATTCCTCCGCCCCTCTCGGAGAGCCTGGCAAGCTACCGAGAGTATTCAATATGCCAAACACAGTAACAAGAAGTCTCACAATGGAGACGTTACTGGGCCCACTCGACCAAATCGATGAACAGCGGGAGGACAGTGTTTGTTTTTTTGAGTTTGGAGCTGACATCAGGAGACAGTGGCCACTGAAGAGTCTGCTATGCTCAGGGGCCTGAGCAGAGGGATACTCGGGGGTGGGGGTGCACCAGGGACAGAGGGAGGTGGGAGTGGGGGGCCGGCGGGAGGAGTGATCCTGGGGAGGGCTTTCTTTTCTGTGTCCGTGGACAAGAGGTGAGCAGGCTCGGGACTCTTGGCCACTGCCTCCTTCCCTGCTGTGGCGGGACAGGAGGGTGGTGGCCCCTGCTCAGCAGGACAGGCTCTGGCTTGGTGGACTGGCCCCGACCCAGCACGGCCGCTCCTTGTGCTGAGTCCCTCTCGCTCTCTCTAGAATGAGCAAATGTGGACACGGCCCCCTCCGGGGTTCACAAAGCCCTGGGCTGCCAAAAACACATAAACAGACACGATCCACAAAGGGGAGGTGACAGCACCTCTGCATTATTTTGGAGAGTCCGTTCTTGCCCACGGAAGTCCCAGGCATGGCGTCTGACAGCTGGGGGAGCTGGAGTCCCACATGCCCCCTCCTCCAGGAAGCCTTCCTGGACTGACTCTCCCTGGCGCCTCTGCCTCCGATTTCCCACGAGGGTGTCTGTTCTTCCCTTGGGAGCACTCACACATGGTTAGACGGTTCTGGAGAAGCGGGGGTCTTCGGGGAAGAATGGGCAACTCTGTGGGAAAATTGGCGAAGGATGGGAGCGATCAGACGCTGCGTGGACACTCAGAAGCACCCGTCCGAGGCGCCTCTGGAAAGCAAGTGGGGGGAGGGGGTCTCGCTTGGCGCCATGTGGGGGGCGGCGCACACTTGCTCCAGCCTGCCCACCAGGCCCGGGAGGAACCCCCCCGGCTCCCACACACAGTTGTGAAGCGCTGCCCTCTCCTTGCTCCAGAAGGTTCTCTCCCTGCGAGGGGCGCCTGAGGTGGGGGACTTGGGGCGCCCACTGCTCCCACGCGGGGGGACCTGGGCACCTCCCCTCTCTCAGCGGCGAGAGAAACTGGGTTCTGAAGAGCACTGGAGGGCGGAGACAAGGAGCACCTGGTGGGGGCTCGCGGGTCGGCCCCTCTACTCTGCTCCAGCCTGTTCTGGGATCACCCTCGTGATCCACCCCCTGACCCGCCCCCCGTGACCCACCCACCCTGAGCCTGTCCCAACCACGAGGAGGGGAGGGAGAGGAAGAGGAGGAAGAGAAGGGGAGAGGAGGAGACGTGAGGGGGGAGAGAGAGGGGGGAGAGGAAGGGGGGGGAGAGAGAGAGAGAAGGACCCGGAGCCAGAGCTCTCCTGCCTGCCGATTTGGTCCAGCGGAGGCCCCTGCAGGCCCCTGGGCAAGGATGGGCCTGGAGGAAGACGGGAACCAAGGCTGACCCCCAGTTCCCACAGCCACACACACTCACACACACTCAGAAACACACACTCACTGGCATTCTCACACACACACACTCAGAAACACACTCACCGGCATTCTCACACACTCACACATTCACACACCCTCAAACACAGACACACTCAGAGACACAATCACACGGATATTCACGCTCTCACACGCTCAGACACTCACAGACACCCCCTCAGAGACACCCACACACTCAGTTACACACACTCACAAACACATACTCACACCAATCACAGAAACACACACCAACCGACATTCTCACACACACTCACACACACCCTCATACACGCACACACCCTCTACCACAGACACACTCAGAATTCAAACACACTCACAGAGGCACACTCACAGATACACTCAGAGACACACAATCATACACGGATATTCACACTCTCACACACTCACACACTCAGAGACACCCACACACCCAGTCACATACACTCACAAACACACACTCGCACACAGTCACAGAAACACACACACACACACACACACACACACAGGCGGGCAGCCTGGGAGCAGGCCCAGACCACCTCCCCAGACAGTGCTTCCTTTGTGCCCGACCCTGGAAGTCATCAGGGAGTCAGCACCAGCGTGGGTGCCAGCTCCTCCAGGAAGCCTTCCCGGGTGCCTCCATTTCCCAGAGTGCAGGGACTGGTACCCGGTCCAGCCCTATCCTCGAGGCCTGAGCCCAGCCTGAGTGGGAGGCTGTGGAATGTGAAGAACAGAATGAAGGAGGGCGGCGATAACCCTGGTCCAGTGGGAGCCCCTGGCGTCTGCCCCCCACCCTGCATCCTGGCAGCTGCCCTGCCCGCCCTGTGGGACCCGCCCGGCTCAGGGTTCCGGGCATGGGTGGAGGGGCCTGGCCAGGGTGGAGTGGAGCCCGCCAGAACCCAGAGGAAGAGCACTCCCCGCCCGCCGGCCCAGGGCCAGGCCGGGGCCTGAAGGACGCCTGGGCACGGGGGCTGCAGGCTGGCTGGAGCAACCAGCCAGCGAGGGGACTCCTGGGGGTCCAGCTGGCCCTCGCCCCCCTCAGCAGAGGTCCCGGGACGTCTGCCAGGTCTTGCTGTTTCCCTGTGACTCAGTTTCCCCCCCAGGGGATAGGCATGTCAAGTCCCAAGGGCCTTTGGGCGCCCACCGGAAGAGTGGTCTGGGTGAGAGGCCCCCAACAGGGTACCTGCCTGGGGCCACCGCAACACCACCATGGGGCGCACTGAGTCTCAGTTTCCCTCCGGGCTCCTGCTCCTGGCCCCGGAGTGGGTGGTATTGAGTGCAGCCATCCCACGGCGAGGAGGAGGGGCGGGGTCTTCCTGGCCCGACCTCGGCCCCCTTGTTTATACATTCGGATAATAATAACCCGATGCAAATGCGAACATGCTTTGTAAACTGCCAAGTGTCAACACAAGCAACAGGATTGTCCTGGACTCGCGGCTGGTCTGGCCCTGGGGGGTGTCCATTGGACTCCCCGTGTCCTCCCGATGGCCTGGCCCTGGGGGTGTCCACTGGGCTCCCCGTGTCCTCCCGATGGCCTGGCCCTGGGGGGTCCACTGGGCTCCGCATGTCCTCCCGACAGCCTGGCCCCTGGGGGGGGGGGGTGTCCGCTGGGCTCCCGATGTCCTCTGGACACCGCAGACAGCCGGGGAGCGAGGTAGGAACAGCTCGGCAGAACGGCCAGTCCGGGACACCCACCACCCCCCCACCCCGGCCCCGCTCGGGCCAAGGCCCCAGACTGAACAATGAGTCAGACGCCCAGACACTCGGCAGACTCGCTGGAGGTCACCAGGCTCCGGAACAGGAGGGCACGGGGTGGCGGGGGGACCAGTGGGAGGGGCTCTCCCCCATCCTCCGCCTCAGGCTTCTGAGGCCACGAGGTTGACCACTTGTGGGCCCAACCTCCCTCCTTGAAAGCTTTCGAGGACCAGCGTGTATGTCGGGGAAACCATGGGGGGGGGGTGGCGAGGGGGCCTCTCGAGCAGGGCAGGAACAGCTGCCCCCAGCGTCTGGGACCCCGCCTCACCCACACTCTCCCATGTCAGCCTTTGGGACCCCAGGCCCCGACCAGCTGCACAGGCCTGCCGACGGGCGAAGCCCCCTGGGCAGGAACTCGGAGCCCAAACTCCCTCCCTGCCTGCTGACCCCGCCTGACCAGGCAGAGCGGGCAGGCACCCGGACTGTGGCTATTTCCGGCGGTGGCTACTGCACCTTCAGCCGTGACACCTGTCCCGGCCGGGCCCTGCCGGCTCCTCCGTGCCGGACGCGCAGTCACAGGGGTCCCCAGGCGCCTCTGGAGAGGCACAGGCCAGGCTGGGCCTTGGTCATCTTCCGGCCACAGGCCTGGCTGCAGGGGGTGTCCTCCCCCCGCGGTGGCCGTGCTCGCTGGCACACACAGTCTGTCCCTGTGTCCCCAGACTCTTCCTGCCCCAAGGACGCCCCTCCTTCCCCAGCCCTCTCCCTTGTCCTCACGTCCCCTCTGACCTTCACCCCGATGTTTCCTCCCCGCTGGGCTCCTACGGGCTCCTGCGCTCCCGTCCCCTCCCGCGCTGGGCCGGCGGCTGGACACAGGCGCCTGCCCGCGCACGCAGCCCCGACAGCGCGAATGTGGAGTGACCGGAGCTCGTCTCGTGTGTGTGTTTTACTGGTGAGGCTCCTGGGCAGCGTCCGTCAGAGACTGGGGGCCGGAGCGGCAGGACAGCAGGGAGGGCTCTTGCCTTGTCTTGGGCTGACGCCAGTTCCATCCCTGGATCCCCCTAGGGTCCCCAAGCACCCGCCAGGAGTGACCCCTGAGGGAGCACCGCCAGGTGTGGCCCAAACGAGAAAGATGAGAGGATCAGCTGTGAGCTCCGCGTCCGAGGGGGCCAAGCCTGCTGCCCCCTGCCCCCCACGGCCCCCCGCTCTTGTTTTCCTCCCGGGGACTCGTCTATGTCCCTCCGAGCCCGTCCCGTGCACGTGACCTTGACCCGCTTTCCTGAGTCGGGCCAGACACGAGGTGTGAACGGCGCGTCACAGAAACTCCCACGGCCTGGGTGGGGACGCAGGCTGCGGCCCGTGGGGGGTTCCAGCTCTGCCAGCTCCCCCGCCAAGCTGTGTCTCTCGCTGGCCCCTGCAGACAGGGCGCCCCGCTCGCAGGAGCCCATGAGGACTGGGCGGGCAGCACCACGCCCTGGGCATCCTGGAGCCTTGGCCCGCCCTGGGGGCGGGGGGACACTCCAACACACAGTCTGCCAGGCAGCACGTCCCACCCCAGGGGGTGTCCCCTTGAATGCCCAGCGAGGACCCCCCTACTGTTTCAGAGAAACGAGGGCCAGGTGCAGGATGCGGGAAGACCCAGCCCAGCCCCCAGCACAAGTGTAGGGGCCAGGGCAGACCCGGGCCAGCGGAGAGAGTTGGGTGCGCAGGGCCTGGGGCCGGGCTCAGCGCAGGCCCAGGGGACAAGGCGGCCCAGGCCACAGCGCACCTGGACAGCAAACGGGCAGGGGTGGACGGGCGAGCGGCACTGGTCCGGCCAGGGGACCCCCACAGCAGCTGTAGCTGAACCCCCCGAACAGCAGGGAAGGAGGCTGGGGACTGGGGGCTGGAACTGGGGGTCAGGGCTGGGGGCTGAGGGGTGAGGGGGGCTCTCACAAGTTCTCTGCAGCCCTGGGACCTCTGGATGCCTCTGAAAGGGGCCTGAACCCGGACCCCCATTCTGAACCCAGGCCCCCATTCTGAACCCGGCCCCCCATTCTGAACCCAGCCTTCCATTCTGAACCCGGACCCCCATTCTGAACCCGGGCCCCCATTCTGAACCCAGACCACCATTCTGAATCCGGACCCCCATTATGAACCCAGACCCCATTATGAACCCGGGCCCCCATTCTGAACCGGGACCCCCATTCTGAACCCAGACCACCATTCTGAATCCGGACCCCCATTCTGAACCCAGGCCCCCATTCTGAACCCGGGCCCCCAGTCTGAACCCAGACCACCATTCTGAATCCGGACCCCCATTATGAACCCAGACCCCATTATGAACCCAGGCCCCCATTCTGAACCGGGACCCCCATTCTGAACCCAAGCCCCTTTTTGGAGGTGTCCAGAGGTCCCAGGAAGGAGTGAGCTGCAGAGAACTTGTGACACCCAGAAGAAGGGGCACCCAGCCTGGAAGCCGGTCCTGCCTGGGGCGTTCGGGCCCGTGCCGTGTCCATCCCTGCGAGCACCCCTCCACGAGAATCCCAACCCCCGCCCCGCGGAGCCCCCTCCCGCTGGCTCCAGCCCCGCTGCCACTCCTGGAATTAATCAAGACTCCGAGCAGACTGCGGTTTGCGAGTCTGAGAGCTGAGCCCGCCTACGTCACTGCCCAGAGAAGCGGGGCCCTTCGCCCCTCCTCATCCCAGCACCCCTGACACTCCGTCTCCCACCACGGACGGTCCCTCGCCCCGAGCAGCCCCACTGCACCAGGGCTAACTTGGCCCCATCAGCACCCCTCGAGTTTCTCCCAGAGAGCACGCGTGGGAAGTTAATGTGGGCGGGAGGCACTGCAAGCTTCTAGAAGGTTCCATCTTAGCCCTGACACAGACCGCGACCTGCAGGTCCGGCTGAATGAAAGTGACAGGTGCAGGCGAGTCACCAGTGCCGTGCCAGGCCTCAGAGCAGACACAGCAGAGAGCCTCAGGCCTCTCCCAGTGACCCTCCCTGGGGGAGACCAGCCCTGCCGGGCTGGGGGCGGTTAGCTCGCTACCAAGACTCTGTAGTGAGTTCTAAGCCCACTGAGTTTGGGGCCAGGTTGGACCCCTCACAACTGCCCCTCGCCAATGGCCAGAGTCTCTTGCTGGACCAGACCCCGGATCCGAAACCCGGGCGGGGCCCCTCTCAGCCCACCTGACCTCGCGTGTCCCCTGCCCGGCCACCACCAGGGTCTCTCCTCTCCCGCCTGGGCTCTGCTGGGGCAGGCATGACGCCATCCTCCCCTGCACCCCAAATTCAGCCCCCCTTGCTAAACTCCCAGAGGGCTCATCCCCGCCGAGGGAGTGGAGCGGCTAACTCCAACTGGTCCCAGCCGCTCCGGTGCAGCGCTGCCCCCTCCTGGTCTCCGGTGGAAGGTCACCCCCGGGCATCCTAGCCAGGCAGGAGCTGATGTCTGGGGCCGCCTGGTCCCCAGCCTGGGTCAGGCAGGCAAGCAGGTGGGCTCAGCCAGGGGGCTGCCTGGGGTGTAGACAGGAACCTCCACCCCCTGACCCCAAAAGGAGCACCCGCGGTCCGGCCTGCGCTCCCCCAGATGCTGACCTGTGAGGCGCTACGCGAACCCCTCCTTGCCCCCTTGAGAATGAGCCCTGGGGTATGCCGGGGTCACCCCCACATCCTCCAGATTCCCCCGGGGAGATGCCCCCACCACAGCCCAGCCCCAGGCCTCAGGCAGGCCCTCAGCACCCTCGGTGTTCTAGGCCCGTCCCCTGGTCGGCACCCATCATGCCTTCCTGTTGCACCCCTCAGCCGCCCTGGGCCCTGCACCCCAGACCTCCTGGGCTTGGGGTAAGAACCTGTCAGGCCCTCCGGGGGTGTGGGGGGGGGGGGGAGTCTGGAGGGCCGGACTGGGGCAGAGGCGCGGGACAGCTGGCCTGTGTCCCCACACTGGGCCCAGGGCCCAGCCGGCGGGGCGGGGTCCTGGACACTCAGGCCTTGGCTGGGGCTGGATTTTTGGCCGGGCAGCAGGGCCCTCCCTCCGCTTCCTCTCCCGAGGGCTGTCCTGGCAGAGGGCCCCTCACACTTTCTGGCGGGAACGGGGCCAGCGGTGAGAGCGGCCACAGAGCGAGAGCAGGGGAGAGCCGGCCCTGCGTCTGTGCGTGTGCGCGTGCGGGCGCCCAGCTGTGTGTGTGTGTGTGTGTGTGTGTGTGTGTGTGTGTGTGTGTGTGTGTGTGTGTGTGTGCATGCGTGTGTGGGGGGAGGTGGGGGGGGGCCGGTCCACAGTCCATCAGCCCGGCCCAGGAGGCTGGGGAGCCTTTCGTAATGGCCCCCCTTCCCGGCCCCCCTCCCCCGCCCCTCCCCCCGCCCTCCTCCCGCCCTCTCTCCCTCCCTCCTTCCCTCCAGCCGTGGAGGCTGCAATTACGCTTTGGGGATAAAACGAGGCGCAGAGAGCAGGCTGGGGCATTTCTCCCCGAGATGGCGGGCCTGGCACTGGCGGCTCTGCGGCCTGGACTCCTGCTGCTCCTCTTCGTCGTGTGCCCCTCGCAGCCCGGAGGTAGGCCCCCCGTCCCCTCCCGGCCAGGTGCCCGCACCCCGGGCTCTGGGGCGGCCGGAGCCCCTCCAGACCGCGGACCGCGGAGGAGGAGCCGGTCACGGACGAGTCCAGGTGGACCCACCCCAGGTCCAGCCTTTGCTGCCCGCCAAGGGCTGGGCGGTTCTGCTCACTCCTGGCCGCTCCCGGGGTGCAGGGGGCAGCGGGGCACATGGCCCTGGGGGTGTATGGGACCTGTACCCACCGCACCTGTGTGCCACACCAGGAGGCGCACCTGTCCGCGGTGCCGGGATGCAGCCGCATCGGCACCAGCGAGCAGGTGGCCGCCTGGGGCCCCGTCCCTGGGATGTCAGGCTCCCCCCCTGGGAAAATCGGGGTCCACGGGGCTCAGAAGGTGGGCAACGGCCAGGGGGGTCCATGGCTGGTCGGTGGGCATGGGGCTGAGCTACATCTGTGCGTGCTGGAGACCTGAGGGCTGTCGCACAGGCAGGCTGTCCCCGACGTGTCCCCAATGCGGCTTCGGGTGAGGATAAAGAATGTCCACACCGGACAGGTGTCGTCGCGGCCGTGAGCCGAGGCAGGAGGAAGCGCTCCCTGTGTGTGCACAAGACGGCCCTCCCCGCAGCCCCACACACACACGGGGCACCCGGGAGATGGGACGGCGGGGGCAGCGTCCACCTGGGGCAGACCGGTGTGGCTGGCCGCAGAGGCTAGCCAGAGGCAGCTGGGAGTGGCCCTCCAGGCTCTCAGCAGAGGTGTGGATGCAGGCTGTTTGTGGGGACTGGGCGGGGTGAGGTCCAGTGCACGCGGGGCCCTGAGAACCAGACCTCCAGCGGGGGGCCAGGCAGCACCGGGCGGAGGTGGGGGGGGGGAGGCCGGGAAGGAGCCACAGCTGTTTCCGGAGATTGCGCGGTGTGAGGCTTCCTGCACCAATGGGGCTGGACGTGCCTTTGGGAGGGGGGGACTTGCGGGTCCCCCCCCAAGTCTGGGAGCAGCGGCTCTGAGCACTCACCTCCAGGGAAAGTGAGGCTCAGAGAGGGGAAGGCAGGGAGAGCGACCCGCCAGCCTGGGGACAGACGCACATGCCGGGCTGGCTGGGGTGCCTCTCAGGGTACTCGCAGTCCACGACCCGTCTCCCTCTGCCAGCCCCGACTCTGCCGCCCGAGCAGAAGCAGCCGGGCCAAACGGGGTGTGTGGATGGATGGGGTGTCCTGGGCTGAAGTGTGGGGTGAGGGCGGGCGGGGCCGCGCACACACACACACTCATTCATCCATCCTCACGCTCACTCAGCCCCTTCGCAGCCACTCACTCGCACCCACTCATTCCCACACCCTCGCCAGCACCTCACACATGCGACCCCCCCCACAGACACACACCCACCGTCACCCACACCCTCACACCCAGCCCCACACACCCTCACCCGTCACACACACACCCACACCCACACCTCACACCTGCCCCCACACACACACTCAGACCAAGCTCCCACATACACACCCCTCACACCTGTCCCATAGACACACACACATACACTCATACCCTCACACCCGGCCCCACACACACACACTCTCACCCACACCCTCGCACCCAGCCCCCCCCACACACACACATTCACACCTGTCATGCACACACACACACACACACACACACCCTCCCTCACACCTCACACCTGGCCCCACACCCATCACACACTCACACGCACACACTCACGTCTCTCCCTATGTGTCCCCACTCCCGCAGGACCAGAGAGAGAGCATGTGCAGGGCGAAGGCACCTGCCTTTCATGGGGCTGACCCTGGTTCAGTCCCCAGCATCACACGTGGTCCCCCAGAACAGCCAGGAGTAACCCCTGAGCCGTGCCAGGTGTGGCCCAAACACACCACCGCTCCGATTTAAAAAAAAAAAAAAGAAAAGAAAAGGAAAGGAAAGGAAAGGAAAGGAAAGGAAAGAGAAATGTTATCAGGTGGAATCCCGTCCCCAGTTCCCCAAAACATTCTTGGGGCTTCTCTGTTTCCCACGTTAGAAGTGAGAATGACCCAGAAAAGTGGGTCCAGCCCTGCTGCCCAGCAGAAGAACCCCCAAACGCTCAGCATGCCCAGGATTTCCTGCCACCCTCGCTCCTGGGGGCGGGCGGGGGTCAGGTGACTGGGGCAAGCTCTGTTTCGGGGGTGCTGTTGTTCTCTGGGCTGCAGGGTGAGGCAGGGCTACAGACTTGCCAGGAGGGAGCGCCCCCAACCCCCCCACGGATTGTTTTTGAAAATCCCTCGGCAACCGTTCCGCAGGCAAACAACAAACAGCCTCGAGTGCTCTTATCTGCTCCCCAAGCGCCCCCTGGACTTAGTCTTGGCTGAGCCCCCAGCCAAGCCTGCTGGCCCGCGGCTCATGGACATCGCCCGGGTCTTTGAACCCAGAGCCCAGGCGGCGGGGTGGTGGGAGGGGAACTTGGGGCGGGGGGAGCCACTCTGCGTGCTGGGGACACCGTCGGGCCCTGGCTCTTGGTTTGGCTGCAGCAAAGCGGGGCGAGTTTTACTTCACAGTCGGGTAGCAGCTGCAAAGCAGAAGCCCGTGGGCATTTTAAATGAGTCTCTTCTGCGGGCTTTGCCGACCTGGGCCACTCCAGCCCGTCTTTCCTCGTGGGCTTTCTACACTCGGGTTTTACCTCTTGCTTCTCACACCGCACGCCGCCTGATCAGATCTGGAGGTGCATTTCCACCGTAGTTCCTTGGCACGGGAAGCACATAGCATAGCGGGGTCCCAGGACATGCATCACTGTCGCGGGGCGGTTCGGGGATCAGAGGTGAGACTTCTGGGTCCGTGTGACTCAGGGCAGCAGAACTGGAGGGACAGACGCCATGGATCCCAGTTCCAAAGGAGGAGCACTCCCCCACCCCCGCCCGACACTCTGACTGGGAGGTAGTGAGCTCCCCGTCACTTGAGGCATGTAAGCAGGAGCCCCCGGAGATGTTGGCAAAGGGAGTTGTGGCCGGGGCCAGAAAACTGTTATGATTCCTGCAAGGCTAGGGCTGTAATTCAAAGATGCAAGAGACAAGTTCCAGCCAGGCTCGCCAGCAGAACCAGCCAAACCCACATAAAACAGAGGAGGTGCTCCAGGCAGCTGCTCGGGCCAACCGAGACCCGGCGGGAGAGGAAGGGTTGTCCGGGCCAAGGAGCAGAGCGGGGAAGGAAGAAGACCCGCTGCGTCATCTTTTGGGGTCCTGGGAGGGGCCATCTCTGTTTATTCTCCTCCCTTCAGCACTGGGCGAGACACCACAGGCAAGGGCCCCCCTAAAAAAACTCCTCTGGCCATCCAAACCTCCCCAGGCCCTCAGGGATCAGGCTGGAGTTGGCAAAGCCTGCGGGATCTGAATCATGGGGGGGAGGGGGGAGAGACATAGCGGAAGACTGGCCACGGGTGGGTGAGGGCCAGCAGGAACCTGGAAGAGAAAGTGGGGGTCCAGCCAACATTAAGTGGGGAGACCCTACAGGAAACCAGACACAAAAGCCTCCCTGCCACCTAGTGCACCTGCCCAGCACTTATTGAGCACCTACTGTCTACCTGCCCTCCACCATGCATGCCTACTGTATACCTGCCCCTTCCACGGTGAATCGAGACATCGTGACAAGGGTCTTTTTCGGGGGGAAAGGGGGTGGCAGGGGTCACGCAGCCTGTGCGGGGCAGGACAGAGCTGTCGCTTGAACCTTTCCGCCCGTCTCCACCACCACGTCTGGAGGCAGAGCCTCAGCTCTGCCTGGAGAACACGAGTTCGGGTTCAGAGGGGGGAGGTGACGTGCCAGATGGCAGAGCGGGCGGGGGGTGGGGGGCACGGCCAGGAGGCGAGGCCCCAGATGGGTGTGTGGAGGGGGGCCTGGCTCCCCCCACACACACCCTCCGGGCTGGGCGGGAAGAGGGGCCGCCCACGGAAGCGACAGCGCCCAGAGCCAGGCCAGCAGCATCAAAGGTCCTGCAGCAAACATGTGTGTCCCTGGCGCCGGGACCCGCGCGGCCCTGGCCGCGCCAGATCGCACACATCCCCCAGGTCTGGATGGCAGTTCCCAGGGGCCCGGGTGGCGCCGGGGCCTTGGCACCAGGCGGCTGTGACAGCTTGGCACCCCACCCTGCCGTGCGGCCACTGAGAGAGACAGCAGGGCTGGCTGCAGAGCTCGGGCGTCCTGGCCGGGAGGTCCCTGGACTGGACAGGAGTGGGGACAGCATCCCCCGTCCCCGCTGGTGCTCCTGCTGTGGCCTTGGCAGAGTGGCTGGGCGAGGTTGGGACAGTGGGGGGGCTGTGGACATGACCCTGCTCAGGCGTGTGTCCAGAGCCCAGCAGGACGGTCCCCAGGCTCCAGGACTCCGCCCGCCTCTGGGGACAGGCCGCCGCTGCTGCTGGAGGCGCATCCCTTTTCCTGAGGAAACTGTTCTCCTAAGACAGGGCTCTCGTGCCCAGCCCCGGGGGCTGCTGAACCCTCAGGGGCCTATGGGTGTGGGGATGGCCCGTTCCCTACTCCCCCATACTCCCCCACCCCACCCCAGCCCGGTCCTCCCAGTGCGGCTGAGCCTTGCAGGGGGATTGACTGTGCCCAGAGGGGATGGAGATGCTGTCTCGGTGGTCTATCCTTCTGCTGCTCACAGCTGTTAAACTGTAGCTAGTCCAAGGTCCAAAGTCGCGGGGGTGTGCAAAGAGCCAGGAGAGCTGGGCCGATGCAAACAGAAAAGCTCCCCGCTCTCCTGCAGGGGTTCCCGGCGCGATTCCTGGCGGAGTTCCCGGAGGCTTTTACCCAGGTAAGGGGACTGAAATAAGTTGGGGGGGTTCCTTTCCGAGAGGGCCCCCTTTGACCTGGCCACAGGGAATACCTCTGGGGGCTCTCAGAGTGGGGGTACAGGGTGCCATCCCTGCTGAGGAGAGACACCCTGAGCATCACTGATGGAGCCCCATACTTTTAAAAAGGAGAAGAAAAAAAATGTGGGCTTCCCATCACCCGGACCCACAGTCAGTCAGAAAGACCAGGAAAAGCAGGGGCTGGGCCCTCCCGGGAACCAGGCAAGGGAAAGCTAAAGCACTCGCCTCATAGGTGGCCAACCTGACTTTGAGTCCTAGGAAACTGCGTAGGGTCCCCTAAATCCTGCCGGTAGTGATCCCTAGAGCAGAACCAGGAGTTAGCCCTGAGCACCGCTGTGTGTGGCAAGAAAGAGGAAGGAAGGGAGGGACGAAGGGAGGAAGGGATGAAGGGAGGGAGGGAGGCTGAGGGGGAGGGAGGGAGGGAGGGAGGGAGGGAGGGAGGGAGGGAGGGAGGGAGGGAGAAAAATGGGAGGGAAAAAAGAAAGGAAGAAAGGTAGAAAGAGAAAGGAAGGAAGGAAGGAAGGGAGGGAGGGAGGGAGGGAGGGAGGGAGGGAGGGAGGGAGGGAAAGAAAGAGAGAGAGAGAGAAAGAGAGGGAGGGAGGAAGGAAGGAAGGAAGGAAGGAAGGAAGGAAGGAAGGAAGGAGGGAAGGAGGGAGGGAGGAAGGAAGGGAGGGAGGAGAGAGGTGTCAAGGATTTGAGGGCAGAGAAGGTGTTGCTCAGGGAAGGGCGGGCCACCGGCCTGGGCACCAGCTATTGGCCAGTGAGACTTGGGGAAACTGAGGCTGAGACTGGACCAAGGAAGGTACTGAACAGGGGTTGGTGTGACCAGGGAGGGGGGAGATGGGAACTCATCATATGCTCCCCACCCCCCACCCCCAGGAACCGGCATTGGTGGTCTGGGAGGCCTAGGAGCCGGAGGAGGTAAGCACAGAAACCCCGTTGCAGGATCTGGGGATCAGTCGCCCACATAGGTCCTCAGGCCTCAGCCCCCCAGACCCAGAACCGGAGCCCACCCCGCCCCCGTGGCCTGAGTCTTTCCCCGTGGTCCTCTGGACGCCCCCTTAAGTGGGTGTCGCAGCCCCTGGGAGCCCAGCTTGCCCCCAGCAGCTAGCTGGCTGTGCAGAGTGGGGGTACGGGGGCAGTTCCCGCGAGCAGCCAGGAGGCCCGTCCCCAGTGGGGCGGGGGGTGAGGGGGAAGGGGGGACCCCGGGCTGCCGTTCACTGCTGTCATTTCCTCCCTGCAGCACTAGGGCCTGGAGGCAAACCACCCAAGCCAGGTAAGAGAGGGACGTGGCATGGGGGACCCAGCAGGGAGCAGGGGGCAGAGGAGCGAGGGGGGTGCAGAGAGGAACAGCCGGACCGGGGCCAGGAGGCCAGAAGTAGCCCCATGTCTCCAGGGCTGAGAACCATCTGGAACCCACCCTCCGTGGCTCTCTGCCTGGCTGCTCCCAGACCCCCCCGCAGGGCAGACTGTGGGGGCCCAGACTCACCTCGACTGCCCCACTGACCCCGACCAAGCCCAGGCCGGACTCCAGGCTGACCTCTGGCCCGAGTCCCGGAGGAGCTCCCTCAGCCCGGGCTGTCCTGCTGGGCCTGGATCCGGGGGAGCTTCCGAGGGTCTCTGATTAGCTGCAGGTGAGAGGGGCTAGGGGCCCCAGGAAGCAGGTGGAGGCAGGCGTGGGTGGGTGTGACCCAGCAGTGAGACAGGCCACACTGGGGCCTTGGCGCGCCCCATCCGTGGAGCCCGAGGACACGGCCCGCGTGGCCAGCAGCTCTTACGCAAGGCCAGTCCTGATGATCCAAGTACAAATGAATCCGAGGGCCCCGAACTCCCCCCTCGAGTGCCCCCGGGTTGTGAAACCTCAGGGCTGGGCCCAGGGCAGCCGGCCTGGCCAGGGCTTTCCCGGCTGGGGAGGCCGAGAGCTAGGGAGCCCCAGGGGGGTCAGGGCTGGGGGTGGGGCTGATGGAGAGAATGTGGGAGAGGAGGATGCTGCCTCAAAGATGTGGACTCAGGGTCAGAGGGCAACGCTGGAGTGGGGGTGGGCGTCCCACCACGGGGAGGGCTGTGCCCAGAATCCCACAAAGCAAAGATGAAATTTAGGCTTCCGGAAGAGCTTCTGGCTGGTGGGGGAGGAGGTGGACGGGGACAGAGCGCAGACTGGGATGCGAAGGTTCAGTGGCAGCATCTGATGGAGAAAGGGGCTGGGGTGCCCCAGCCCCAGGACTCCAGAGCTTGGGGCAAGGGCAGGGACCACCCACTCCCAGGCCCCAGGTTGGGGTGGAATGGAGGGTGGGCAGCCTGGGCGAGGAGCAGCCGAGTCCACTGGGAGCAGCGCACACACGTGCACACACACACTCAGCCAAGGGGTGGCGGACACCGGGTGCTGGGTAGCTCACACACTGGTCTTTGGAAGGCCGTTGGGCAGGTGGGGAAACTGAGTCCCAGAGAGGCCAGTGCCTAGTGACGCAGCGGAAGAGATGCCTTGGGGGAGCGCATCTGAGTTCGGAGCTCTCTGCTGCCTCCCCCTCACGCCCCTCTCCTCCCCAGGGGCTGGCCTCGGCGCGTTTGGGCCAGGTGAGTCCACCCCCCACCCCCACACAGCAGAGGAGGGCGCAGGGGAAAGGGTCAGCGGGCGTCCCCGCCCCACCCACCTGCCCGGTCTCTGCTCCCTTCCTGCCCTGCCCGCTCTTCTTCCCAGTCCTGCTGGGCTCAGCAAAGGTCCCCCGCATGTTCCCTGCCCTCCAGGAGCTCAGGAAACCGGCCTGGCGCCAGACGATGAGGGGCGGGGCCTGCGGCTGGGAGGGGCGGGGCCTGCAGCTGGGAAGGGGCGGGGCCTGAAGCTGGGAAGGGGCGGGGCCTGAAGCTGGGAAGGGGCGGGGCCTGGCTGCTGCGGGCTGCAGCTGGGTGCGCCGCTTTGGGCTTAGAGATCCCGTCCACCAGGGACCGGCTGCTGGGTCAGACTTGGCCACCCACGCAATTAGGAAGTGGGGACTGTGCAGGGAGGGGCAGTGGGGGACCGTCCGGGGCGAGCCTGCCGGGGGGAGACCCGTGTTTGGGGGCAGCCCTGGGGTTCAGCACCCTGGCACGCCCCAAGCTGCGGCTTGTGGGAGAGCCGCGCGCATAATTGGAAACAAAGCCGGCGTGATTGTGAACTGCAGCTTGATTGCCCGTCAGTCAGCCGGGGCCAAGGCCCTGGAATGTCTCCTGGAAGGAGAAGGCGCGATGGGGCCCAGATGTGGGAAGGAGCGAGCCAGAGGCGGCCATGTGGCTTCCATAGCGCTTAGTGTCCGCCTGCAAGGAGGAGCCGCCAGCACGGCAGGGCAGAACGGCACATGGGGGGCAGGGGACACAGAATGAACGGCTCCAGATACAGGACCAGGGCCCGGCCCCAGGAGCCCCGGGAGAAGGCGCTGGTCCTGGGCCCAGGGACTGGAGGCGATTAGGGAAGCAGGCCTGGCCCGGGCATTGCAGGGGGTCAGCGCTGTCACGCCAGGGGTGCCTCAATAGGGCGCGCACACACACACACACCCTGTGCCAAGGCTGCATCCAGGTTGCGGGTCTGCGTGGCTGCACTCACATCCCGCCCAGGGAAAGGAAGGATGCCCCCTACCAGCCCCCCTCACCCCTCCTCCTCTCCCTGCAGGTGCTGGAGCACTTGCAGGCGCCGGGCCTGGAGCAGGTGAGTGTCAGCGACTCGACTCAGGCCCGTCCCAGACTGTCAGCCTGGTGGCAGCATCCTGGGCTGTGGGCCTGGCCTGGGCACTGGCATGAGGACGCCACTGAGCAGCAGGGGCTGAGGGGGTCGTCCTGGGACCTGGGTCTGTGCTAGTATAGTCAGGAGAGCTGGAGGGGACGAACTCCAGGGGCCATGGGAGCCCCAGGAGCTGCCAACTTAGAGGGGGCTTCTGGAGGGCTCCCTGGAGGAGGAGGAGACACAAGTTTGACTTGGAAGACGCTTGCAATTTAGGGTGGTAGAGGAGAGCCGCCTGACAGGTAGCTCCCAAACCCTGTCCTGGGAGAGGGGGTGCTGCAGAAACAGACGTCCATAGACCTCTCGATTCCCCCCCCTGCAGGTCTGGGCGCTGTTCCAGGTGCCTTTCCCGGAGGGGCGGTGCCCGGCGGAGCGGCTGGTGCGCAAGCTGCCTATAAAGCCGCCAAGGCTGGTGCGTTACCGAGGGGCGGATGGGGGTGGCGGGGTCTTCTCTGCAGCCCAGACTGTTCCCCGGAGGGAGGTGGGTGGGTGTGTGGGCGCATCCCCAATCCCCCCGAGGCTCAGGGAGCAATATCTGCATCCGAGGCTCAACCCGGAGCCTGCCCCTCGCCTGAGGCCTTGGCTCCCTGCTCTGGCTCTGCAGGTGCTGGGCTTGGAGTCGGCGGTGTTGGCGGTGTTGGTGGTGTTGGCGGCCTTGGCGGCCTTGGCGGCCTCGGTGGCCTCGGAGTGTCCACAGGTAGGGAGACCTGAGCAGCTGGGGGTGGGCTCTGCAGGGGTGGAAGGGGCCCTCTCACTCCGCCCCTTCCCTGCAGGTGCTGTGGTGCCCCAGGTGGGAGCCGGTGTGGGGGTCGGAGCGAAGCCCGGGAAAGTGCCTGGTGAGTGAGGGGAGCCTCGGGCTGGGCGGGAGCCTCGGGTCAGGGAGGCTGCACACACGTGTGCACGCAGGGCACACACATGTAGATACACATGTGTTCACATACACGCATATATGCACGCAGGGCACACACATGTAGATACCCACGTATGTGCGTACAGACATGTGTGTACACACACACACACACACACACACCAATCCCCCTGGGGTCCCTGGAGGAAGTGATTCCAGGTTAAACAAGGGCCGCTGAGCCGAACAGCGGGAAGAACATCTGGAAGCTGTTGACCCCGAGCTGGGCCGCCATGTCCGCAGCTCAGAGGAGATAAACACTGGTGCAGAGGGCGGCCAGGACATCCCGGCCACCCACCCATGTTCCCCGCTGCCCCCACCACCAGCGAGGCCGGAGGTGTCAGGAGAGGGCCGGGAGGGGCTGAGCTCACACGTCTGTCTTCTCTGGTGCAGGCGTGGGGCTGCCAGGCGTCTACCCAGGAGGAGTGATCCCGGGGACAGGTGAGGCCACAGAGCTGTCCCTTCCCCCAAGCCGATGCCACCCAGACCTGTCCTGGCTAGTGCTGTCACCCTAGGCCTGGGACTCAGGGCAGGTCCAGCCCCAACCATCACTCCCTGCCAGGGACTGGCCCCCTCGCCCCGTCTGTGACCTCCCGAATTCCCCCAAAAACCCAGTGAGGCAGCTGTGCCTCTCTCGACCCCGGAGGCAGGCGAGGGGGCGTTCCCAGCCCTAGCACGTGACTCCCCCGTGTTTGGTCGTGGGTGAACCCCCAGTCACGGCCCCCGAAGGGCTTTTCCAGTGAAAATGTGCTGGTGCTCAAATCAACTCCGGTTACAGACTTGGGCCAATTGTCTCTGGGAAGTGGGGCCATAACCTTGGGTGGACAGAGAAGGAAAGTCCCCTGGACACCCAGCACCCCTGACGGTGTGACCCCAGAGGCCGTGGGGACCACTCTGGCCTTGGCCCTCACCCACACCCCCTTTGTCCCTCCAGGGCGGTTCCCAGGTGTGGGGGTGCTCCCTGGAGTTCCCACCGGCACAGGAGTCAAGCCCAAGGGCCCAGGTACGCAGCCGACCAAGTGGGGCGCAGGGGGGCCTGTCGCTCTTTAGCTCAGGCACAGCTGGTGACGGAGGCAAGAAAGCCTGGGTCCCTGTGCCGAGGTGCACACGTGTGACTCGTGTGTGTGTGCATGTGGACTGTACTTGTGCGCACACTGGCCCCGCACATACATTGTGCATCTGTGTGTGTATACATGTACTCAAACCCAGTGAATGTGTGTGGACATGGTCCTACACATGCATACACATGTGTGTACCTGTATCTGAGTGTGTAGGTGTGTACCTGCATTCACATGTGTCTTCACGTGTGTGCACTTATCTCTCTGTGGGCATGTGTGCTTATGTGTATACCTGTGTCTCTGTGCATGTCTGTGTGTGCATGTGCATCTGTGTGTGTCTGCAAGCGTGCGCACCTCTGTGTGTGAGTGTGCACATGGGTGCATGTGTGTGCACATGTGTACATGTGTGCATGTGTGCCCATGTGAGGATCAGCAGGCACCAGCAGAGACTCTGCTGCTCCGGGCTCCCTTGGCACAGTCTACATGTTGACACCCTTGTCCTTGCAGGAGCAGGCGGGGCCTTCGGTGGAATCCCAGGTGAGCACACGGGTCCCCTTTCCTCTGTGCCTGCTCCGTGTCTGGCTCCTCCCCCTGACGAGGGACAGAGCAGCCTTGCGGGGTCAGGGACACTGACGGGGGAGGAGGCTGAGGCGGGGGCCTGAGGCTGAGGCTGACCCGCTTCCCTGCTTCCCACAGGAGTCGGCCCCTTTGGGGGTCAGCAGCCTGGAGTCCCTCTGGGGTACCCCATTAAGGCCCCCAAACTGCCAGGTACGTCAGGGATTCAGCGGCTCCCAGCTGGGGGTCAGGGAGGGGAGAGAGGTCTCGTGGGCCCAGATTCTCTGCAGATGCTCCTCCGAGTGCTGAGGGCACCTGTGGCCACAGCCAAGGCATTGCTCACACACATGCATGCACACACACATGCACACACACACTCACATACATGCTCACACACATGCCTACTCACGCACAGTCACACACACACATGCTCACACATGCTCCGACGCATGCACACATGCTCACACACATGCTCACAAACACACTCACATGCTTACACATGCTCACACACATGTTCATATATGTTCACAAGCACGCTTACACACATGCTCACACGCATGCTCACACGCACAGACTCACATGCATGTTCACGCATACATTCACACACATGCTCACGAACATGCACATTTACACAACAGTTACATACGTTCACCCACCGACACACACACATGCACATTTTGATAGACGCATACACTCACATAAAACACACGTACATCCACACTTGCACTCACAAGCACATCGCATGCATGCACACGCTCACACACACTCACACATGCACATGCGCACAGTCATATGCACAGGCGCACACATTCACGTTCGCACACACAGTCATGCTCACCACTCCTGTGTTCATACACTCACATACCCCCATGCATATGCACACACGCATGCTCACACCGTACATGCCCACAGGAAGCCGTTGGTGTCCCTGACAGAAAACCCACACCAGCAGGGCTGCGTGCAGTCTCCTGGGGGCAGAGGGCAGGGCGGGGTCTGGAGTCTGAGCAGCCCCAGCCCTGAGATCCCCACTCTCCCCGCAGGAGGCTACGGTCTGCCTTACAGCACCGGCAAACTGCCCTACGGTGAGTGAGTGCGCGCCCTGCAGTCTCCCACCCCCGCCCCAGCCCCGTGGGCAGGGCAAGAAACAGGACTTGTGGGTCCCTGTCTGGGCTCTTGTCTCGAGCCTCAGCAGAATCAGTCCTCTCTGTGCCTCAGCATCCCCATCTCTAAAATGGGAACAACCACTTATACCCACATGTGGGGGTGTTTGACCCTGACTGGGACGTCCCAGGGTGGGACCCCAGACAGCCTAGCCCCGGGAGGGCAGGGTTGGGGGGTGCAGCCATGATGAGATGGACCCCCCTCCCTTTCACAGGCTACGGGCCTGGAGGAGCAGTTGGTGCTGCCGGGGGCAAGGCCGGGTACCCGACAGGCACAGGTAAGGCCAGCCTCACCCCACCCACCAAGGGCGTGCTTATCCTCCAGGCTTCTCAGACGCGGTGGCCTGGGGGCAGTCAGCCCCTGTCTGAGCTGGAGAACAGGGGTCTGCAGGTCAGCTCTGCTTCCCCCCAAGTCCTCCGCCCACTCCCACTTGCCAGCAGTCAGCTCCCCTGGAGCTGAGGCAGTGGGCTGTGGAGCCGTCAGAGCACTGTTCTGAGAGTCTCTCCTCTCCCCCAGGGGTTGGCCCGCAGGCAGCATTGGCAGCTAAAGCAGCCAAGTATGGTGAGTAGAGTGCGGGTCTGCACTGCCCAGCCCTGCCCCGGGGACCTGCTTCCCAGACGACCCGTCAGGGGTGCTCTCCGCTCCACACCCCTACCTGGCCAACTCTCACCGCCCGCCCCCGACTCCTCTCTCCATCGGCTCGTCTGCCCATCCTGCCAGCACCCACCATCACCTGACCGTCCTTCCCTTCTGCCATGCATTTCTCCCTCCATCCCTCCATCTGCCGTACTCCCACCCCATCCCTCTACCCGCTTGCTCCTCCCCAGTCGCCCCCCCCACTGTCCACTTATCCCGCTCCACGCGATCCACCATCCCCGCACCCTTCCTCCCTCCCTCCTTCCCTCCTCTTTTCTTCCTCCCTCCTTCCTCTCTGAGCACCTGTGTCCAAGCTTTGCCAGCTGACGCAGACATCGTCTTGAGAGCTGATAAGATTTTTTCTGGCAAACATCAGGAAGCTTCTTCGAGACGACGGCATTTGATTCAGGCCCAAGATAGAGAGGAGTTGGCCCTGTGGTTAAGGAGGAATGGGGGGGAACTGGGGAGATGGGGCTGAGGGCTGACAGAGCCGGGGCTGCATCTCTGGGAAGTGACCCTGAGCCAGGCGTCAGCTCCAAGCACTCCAGGATGTGGTCCAAAAGTCCCCCCAAAAACTGCACAGCACTGTCCTCCCGTTGTTCATCGATTTGCTCAAGCAGGCCCAGTAACATCTCCATCGTGAGACCTATTGTTATTGTGTTTGGCACATCGAATACATCACGGGTAGCTTGCCAGGCTTTGCCGTGCGGGCAAGATACTCTCGGTAGCTTGCCGGGCTCTCCGAAAGGGGCAGAGGAATCGAACCCAGGTCTGCCAGGCTGGCCGCGTGCAAGGCAAATGCCCTAAACTGTGCTATCGCTCCAGCACCCCCCCCAAAAAAAAGAAAAATAAAAGGAAGAAAGAGAAAGAGAAAGAAAGAAAGAAAGAAAGAAAGAAAGAAAGAAAGAAAGAAAGAAAAGAAAGGCCAGGATATCCCTCCTCACAGAACACAAGCATGAGGTCCTGAGTTTGATCCCTAAGCACCAAAAAAAAAAAGAAAGAAAAAGTGAGGAGGGGGCGTGGTGTTGGGAAGAGCCAGGCTGAGGCATAGGAACTGTGACTAGAAGTGATTTGGCAGCCAAGTGTCAGGTTAATGGGCTCCGTAACCGTTTTACTAGTTGCCCAAGTCCATGGCCGCTGATATGGCACAACCAGGAGGTTCCTCGGACCCCTGTTCCAGGCTGCCTCCGACTCTCTCCCACGAGCCCCTTTCTAGCCCCAGCGGGACGGAGGCCTCCCTCCACCAGGCAGGGGTGCGGCTGCGGGGAGCGGGCGAGTCCCCTAGCCACAGGCTCACCCCACAGAGGCCCCAGCGGCCCTGTGCCTGGCAACAGGGAAGCCAGGGGGAGAGCCGGGAGGGGCGGCCTCGCCAGGCAGCGGCCACTCGGATTACAAACTTGGCCGAGGCCTTGGAACACGGGACAGGATCCCGGGAACATTCCGACAGGAGCCCCTTGGCCCAGGCCGAGTGCTTGCGGTTTCTCAGTATGTGACGGCGATTAGACAGGATTTGTCTGAAAACACACAAGGCCCTCACAAGTGTGTGGAAATGGACCCGGGGAGGGGGGCGGGGGGGGCTGTCAAGGAACCACAGGACAGGGACCTTCTCCGGCCGGCCCAGCTGGAGACACCCGCGCTGCCGTCCCCCCCGGGGACTATGGGCACGGGTCCAGGCCTGGCCTCCATGTGGCCTTCGCGGGGCTCATGCCGGCCCGTCCCCACCCACAGGTGCTGGCGGAGCTGGAGTCCTTCCTGGCGGGGCCATCCCTGGCATCGGGGGGATCGCAGGTAGGGCCTATTTTGCAGGGGGCGGGGGGCCGGAGTGGGGGGCATCGAGAGAGAGGGACTGACTCTCGTCACCGTCTCTCCAGGGGCCGGGGGACCCGCGGCTGCGGCTAAGGCGGCGGCTAAGGCGGCCAAGTATGGTGAGTGCCGGAACGGTGCCGGGGGTGGGGTTGGGGGGGACTGGTCACGGAGCCCCCCACCCCAGAGGGACTTGTACTGCCTCCTCCCCAGGGTGCTGCGGGGAGGGGGTCTCTGTCTCCACTGACTGGGCCCCAGAACTGGGGGTCTTGTCTCCCCCACCTGACCGCAAGGCACGTCCAGCCCCAGGGCCACTGGGCACAACTGTGCCCCTGGGCCTCAGCTGCACCCCACACTCCCGCCCGATGCCCAGCCCATACAACCCCCTTCTCCTTCCAGGAGCTGCTGGAGGCTTGGCGCCCGGCGTGCCAGGGTTCGGCCGCGGCGTGGGTGTCCCGGGCGTTGGGGTCCCTGGCATTGGAGGTGTTCCAGGTGCTGGAGTTCCAGGAGTTGGAGGAGTTCCAGGTGAGGTGGAGTGTGTGTGTGTGTATGTATGAGTGTGTTTATGACTTTGTCTGTTGTATGTGTGTTGTATGTAAGAGTGTGTGTGCACATGACTGAATATGTATGTGCACGTGTGTGACTCTGCAAGAGTGTATGAGTGTGTCTGTGTGTGTGAGGGTGTGTATGTGACTCTGAGTGTAAGAGGATGAGTGTGTAGGAGTAAGCATGTGTGTGTGTGTGTGTGTGTGTGTGTGCATGGGCATGTGACGACGTGTGTGAAATGTGTGTGGTGTGTGTGAGAGTGTGTGTGCCTGTGGCTGTGTGTGTGTCAGAGTGTGTTAATGTATGCGAGTGCGTATGGGTGAGTGTGTGTTTGTGTGTGTGATAACTTGTGTCTGTGTGTGTGAGTGCGTATGAATAAGCGTGTATATGTGTGCATGTGCATATGACTATCTGGAGGCGTCGACCATGACGTTCTCATGTTTACCGACTGCACTCCGTGATGTGTGGGCAGATGGAGGGTGGGCGGGGTGGATGCCCGGAGAGTGAGGGGGAGGTGAGGGACACGGGGGTGAGTGCAGAGAGTGACAGATGAGGGAGAGTGGGTGGGGGATGGGTGCTCAGATACGGGGGGGGGGGTAGCTGATACAGTGTGGACAAAGAGGTGAGTGGGTGGATGGAGAGACTGCTCAGAAGGTCAGTGGGACGCGGGTGGGTGGGTGGACAGAGGGGCTGAGTAGATGGTGGGTGGTGAGTGGGTGGTGAGTGGACGAACTCTTGGATGGATGGAGGAGTGATGAGTGCATGGATGGATGGATGGATGGATGGATGGATGGATGGATGGATAAGCACGTAGTTGGATAAACAGATAAATAGACAAGTTGATACAAAACAAAATTCAAATGAATAGCTGGAGAGGTGGATCGATAGTGAGCGGGGCAAATGGGCTGATGATCGGACTGATGGTGGGTGGGTAGATGCAGGCCAAGGGCTGGACAGACAAGTGGACAGACACAGCCAGTCCATGGGACAGATGGGCAGACCGAGACAGCAGTGGGCGCATTTAGACTCACGCTGACTGGGAGCAGCGGGGTTCGCAGACAGACAGGGTGGACCGAGGCCCCACTGGCATCACCTCACCGCCACTGTCCACTGTCTGTGTCCCCACTCCAGGAGCTGTGTCACCAGCTGCTGCGGCTAAAGCAGCCTCCAAGGCCGCCAAATACGGTGCGTCCTGTGCCCGCCCCCTCAAGCCCCACCTCCCGGCTCCAGTCCTGGGGTACACTGAGTGAGGCCCTCGGATACTGTCTGCACCCACCCGGCGTGACCCGTACCAGATCTGGGGCGGGGAGGGAGAGTCCCCGGGGTCACCCCAGACCACTTCAGGAAACCCAAGTGTGGGCGTCCCTCAGTCTGTCCGTGCCCCAGAGAGCCCAGCGCTGAGAGGAGGGGGAGGGGAGCCCGGGCAGCCCCTGTTGGACACTGGTGGGCCCCGTAGGTTCTGTCCTTCATGGACCTGTCAGGGGTCACCGGGGCAGACGTCCTCTCGGCCAGAGAGCCTCCACTTCATGGCCTCTCCTTTCCGTGGTGTCCCGCAGGGGCCAGGGCTGGAGTGGGTGCTGGAGGTCTGCCCTTCGGGGGCGTCGGTGCTGGGGGCTTTCCCGGTTTTGGAGCCGGAGCTGGAGGTGAGTGCGTGGCTGACCAGGCCCGGGACCCCGGGGGGGGGGGGGGCGGAGGCCTTGGGGTCCCTCTTCTGTGGGTGGAGGAGTGTGAGGGCGTCGTGTGGGTACCACAGTGCCCGGAAAAGGTGGGCACACAGAGGGGACGCAGCAGCGTGCCTCGACACTCAGTCGGGATCTCCCTCTTCCTTCCTTCAGCCGCTGCCGCCGCCAAGGCAGCCAAGTATGGTAAGTGCCAGGCCCCAGGCACCCCTGCCCCCCAGTACCCCCCCAGCACCCCACTCCCCCCCAACCCTGGGGAAGGCCAGAACGAGCCACCTGAGGGCAGGACCACCTCAACCCGCTCCAGGGCCCAGGTGGTCTGTGCCAGGTTGGGGGTCCCACACCCTCGCTCTCAAAGCCACACTGCCCTTGGCCATTGGGGTGCCCCATGGGGGGGCTGGGGGACCCCACTTCTAGGCCCCACCCCGACGGACAAGTCATGGTGCTCTGCTGTCCTTCTGCTCCCGGGGCTGGAGGGCGGGTGCTGGTGGCATGAGGCTGATGCCCCCCACCCTTCCTCCAGGTGCCAGGGGCGTGGGAGGAGCCCTGGGAGGACTGGTGCCGGGCGCAGGCGCAGTGCCCGGCACGCCCGGGGTTGGAGGTGTACCAGGTGAGGTGCTGGGAGCCCCCGGGAGGCGGGACATGGGAGGGGACACGGGTCTCTTGGGTCTCGCCAGCCGAGCCCCAAAGCTGGGGGTGGGAGGTGCAGGGAGATGAGGCCTCAGTCTGGGGGTGCCCGCAGGGCCCCTTCTGACCCCCTTCCTGGGGGAGCCTCCTCCTGGAGACCGGGACTGCCTGTGTTGGGGCTGCCTGGCTCTGGTCACTGAGTTCCGGAGGCAGGAAGCACCCACCTGACATGGGGGTCAGGGTCTTGGGACTCTGGGCTCTGCCGGGGGCCTGCGGCTGCCCCTCCTCATGGCTGAGAGCAGGGCAGGCCGGGGTGAGCTCCCCGACCCCCCCACACACAGAGCACCTAGGGGGAGGGGGGAGGGTGCTGGGAGCTCCCTGACGCTTGTCCCTCGCAGGAGCTGCAGCCCCAGGGGCAGCTGCTGCCAAAGCCGCCAAGTACGGTAAGTGTCCTGGGCCGGGCTGGCCTCACCTGGGCCTCAGCGCCCAGCCCTACACCTAGGGGCCCTCAGCACCCAGCTCTTCACATAGGGGCCCCTTAGCCCTGCCCCTAGAACCCAGCCCAGGGCCTGATCGCCCACTCAGGTCCTGCCTGGGTCCCTTTTTGTTGTTGTTTGTTTTGTTTTCATTTTTATTAGTTAAACACCACGAGGTACAGTTATCGACTTATAAATTTTTGTGCTTGGGTTTGAGTTCTACAATGGTCAAGTACCCATCCTTCCACCAGTGCCCATTCTCCACCCCCACTGATCCCAGTATCCCTCCCACCCACCCCCGCCCCCCCATCCCACCCTGCCTCTGTGGCAAGGCATTCCCCTTTGGTCTCTCTCTCCTTTTGGGTGCTGTGGTTTGCAAAAGAGGCGTTGAGTGGCAATCATGTTCGGTCTATAGTCTACTTTCAGCACGCATCTCCCATCCTGGGAGGATCCTCCCAACACCCTTTACTTGGTGCTCCCTTCTCTATCTGAGCTGCCTTTTCCCTTAGCATGTGCCCGCCTGGGTCCCTTTGACCACTGTTAGAGGTATTGGTAAAAGCAAGCAAGAGAGACCCTCAGAAGCCCCCCAGGCCAGGTCTCATCCCCCAAGCCCTGCGCCTCCCAGTTCCGCCGGGCCGGTCTCCATCCCCCCACTCCGTGCCAGCTCCCTGACCCCCCCTCAGTGTACAGCTGCACCCACAGACATGGGCCCCTGTCGGGCTGTGTGTGCCACCCCGAGGTCCCCTCAACCCCAGGGCACATGTCTGACTGGCCAGGACCCAGGATGCATGGGGTGGCGGCCTCGGGCACTCCCACTGCAAGGGCAGGTGCGAACCCCAGGGCCGTCCAAGTCAGAGCCTTCCTTCACTCAGACTCAGAGCCCCCGACCCTCTGACGAGAGTGACCCCGTTAGTACAGCTCCCACTTGTGGGGGGATCCTCCCCCGGGGCGCTCTCTACCCCTCTTTGGAGACGTGGAAACAGGTTCCGGCATGTGAGCAACTTGTCCCACCCCCCTTGCCCCCTGAGGAGTCTGGGGGCCCAGAACTCAGCCTCTGTCCCCCTCAAACATCTCCAAGGGATCCCGTTGTCCCCCAGAACTCAAGAACTGGCCCTGCGTGCACCCACACAAGCACGAGAAAGGGGAGCAGCGGGCCTGCCTCTGGGCGGTGACCCTTTCCCTGCTGCCAGACTAAGGCAGGTGCGTCTCCCCTGCAGGTGTGGCACCCGGCGTGGGCGTGGCTCCCGGCGTGGGCGTGGCTCCCGGCGTGGGCGTGGCTCCCGGAGTGGGCGTGGCTCCCGGAGTGGGCGTGGCTCCCGGTTTGCGTCCCGGGGGCGTTGCAGGTGAGCTGCAGGAGGGTGGGGTGCAGGAGGGACTGCGAGCTCTGGACCCCGCGTGGGGCCTTCCCTGAACCCCCTCCCTCCCCGCAGGAGTGGGCGCACCGGCCGGAGGCAAGTCTGCTGCCCAGCTGGCCGCTAAGGCCCAGTTGCGTAAGTGTCCTGCCCGCCCCGAGCAGGGGTGCTGGGGGACCCCCGGTGGGCACCTCTCAGCCAGCCCCCCCTCCCCTCCCCCGCCTCTGGAGGAACTCCTCCTAGGGGGGGTACCTTGTGACCTGCCCCCATGACGGGTGGAACCCAAGACGGGGGAGGAGGCAGCCGAGGAAAGGAGCCCACACAGTGCCCCCGGAGGCCAGTGGGACTGGTGTTCACCAGCCAGGTGGCCGGCAGGCGGGCACTAGCCCTCCCTGGGCGCTCCCACCCACTGCTGTGCCCCGCTCACTGTGTTCCCAGGGGCTGCGGCTGGAGTCCCCGCTGGCGTGCCTGGATTCGGAGCAGGTGCTGGGGTCCCAGGATTCGGAGTGGGTGCAGGTGAGACCCCCTTGTCCAGCCGGCTCCCCCCGCGCCCCCCTCACTCGACCCAGAGTGAATTCCTCACGATTCTCCATCCCATGCTCCGGAGTACGCAGGAGGGCAGGGTGGCTGGGGGCTCGGGACCCCACCCGGGGCCTTCTCTCATCCCTCTTCTCCCTTCAGGAGTGGGTGCACCAGCCGGAGGCAAGTCTGCGGCCCAGCTGGCCGCTAAGGCCCAGTTGCGTAAGTGTCCTGCCCGTGTAGCGGCCCCAGCCCTCAGCATCCCGCCTCCTGCATTGGGGCACCCCCCCCAGCCACCTGGCCCCAGCCTTCAGAAGTGGGCTGTCCCCTGCCCTGGGCTTCCCATCAGAAATGGGGTGTCCTCGGGCTGAAGCGATAGCTCAGCGGGTAGGGCATTTGCCTTGCATGCGGCCGACCCGGGTTTGATTCCCAGCATCCCATATGGTCCCCTGAGCCCTGCCAGGAGTGATTCCTAAGTGCAGAGTCAGGAGTAACCCCTGTGCATTGCTGGATGTGACGCAAAAAAAAAAAAAGAAACGGGGTGTTCCCATCCTTTCTCCACAGGAGCAGCAGCAGGGGGTGTCCTCAGAGGCCCCGGGGGTCTTGCGGGCGTGGGTGTTCCTGGTGGGGTAGCAGGTGAGTTGTGCCCTCAGAACTGGGGAGGAGAGGGAGGTGTCCTGAGGAGACCTCTGAGCTCACTGTGTCCCCAGGAGCTGGACCTGCAGCCGCCGCCAAAGCTGCCAAGGCCGCCCAGTACGGTGAGTGTGGGGACTGGGCACGGGGTGGGTGGGCACTCGAGGCCCTGCCCTGCTGTGCCTGGGGGGGGGGGGCGGGGTTCTTACGAACTGTCTCCACAGGCGTGGGGGGCGTGGCAGGACTCGGAGCCGGAGCCGGAGGGCTGGGAGTGGGCGGCGTCCCAGGAGCCGGAGCCTTTGGAGGTAGGGCTGCTCGGAAGCAGGGCACTGGCATGTGTGTATATTGTGGGGGGAGATGCACCGTGCATGTGCACCGTGTGTGCAGGCATGATACTGTGGGTGCGCACTGCCATCTTCTCTGAGGACTGTGAATATGGTATGTCCACATGTGCGTGCGGTGGGTTACTGCTTGCATGTGTGTGTGTGTGTGTGTGTGTGTGCGTTTATATGTGTTGAGGGTGTGTGTGTGCGCGCCTTCCGTGTTCTGCGTGCTGCGTGTGTGTTTATCTGTGTTGGGGGGCGTGGACCTTGTGTGTTCTCTGCGGACGGGCGTGTGTGTTTATGTGTGTTGGAGTGTGTGTGTTCCTTGCATGTTCTCTGTGTGCCGCATGTGTGTTTATCTGTGTTGGGGGGTGCTTGTGCCTTGCATGTTCTCTGTGCTTGTGTGTGCGCATGTGTCCGCGAGCTCTATGTGCGTGTGCCTGTGTGTGTCTTGGCCCGTCTTCCCGTTTCCTCCTCGGAGGGCTGGGAGCGGGCGGCCTTGTTCCCTCTGCCCCCCCCCCACCTTGATCTGAAGCCTCCCTGCACTTGGGGGCACGCGGTGGTCAGCAGGAGTGAGGGTGGCCCTTCCCACGGAGCCCCGGCCCCCTCCTCTGCTCTCCCGCCCCCACCACTACCGGGGGTCCTTAGGCCAGGGTGCCAGACCCCCTTTCCTGAGAAGAGAGGCGAGGCCCCAGGGGACAGGCTGGGCCCCTTTCCCCACCCTCGGCGCCCCCCCAGGCCCCCCGGGGAGTGGCCACGTGCTCCCCGGGTGCTCCCTCGGACGTGGGAGGGATGTGGGGGGAGACCTGGGCAGGTAGGGGTGGGGGGAGACGTGGCTTGGGGGAGGGGTCTGGGACTCACATGCCTCCTCTTCCCCACCGGCCCCAGGTGTGTCTCCAGCTGCGTCTGCTAAAGCAGCGAAATACGGTGAGTGACACGCCAGGGCCCCAGGCCCGCCCCTCATCCTGTGCAGCGACACAGCCCCCCAGCCCCCCCAGGCCTGTCCGGAGACGCCGCCCAGAGGGGATCGAAGGACTGGCCCAGTCCTGACCCTCATGCCTCCTTCTAGGTGTTGCTGACCTTGGAGGCGTCCTGGGAGCCAGGCCCTTCCCCGGCCGGCCGGCGGGAGGCAGCGGAGGGCAGGGTGGGGTGATAGTCCTGGGCAGGAGGCGTGGACACAGGGGCAGACCTTGGGGGTGAAGCACCTCCTGGGCCCCCCAGGCTGAGACTGAGGCCTCATGTCTGTGCTGGGTGGTGCTGAGGTTTGTGAGAAGCCTGGGGGCAGGGGGCGTTCTTGGGGACAGAGGCTGGGGGCTCCCGTTCCAACCCCCATCTTTCCTGCAGGAATGGCCGCGCGGCCTGGCTTTGGCCTGTCCCCCATTTTCCCAGGTAAGCCCCCCCCGTGTAGTCCTCCCCACCCTCCTCCCCAGGGGCCAGGCCAGGGCTGGGTGTGACGCCCCAGACACAGAGGACACTTCCCAGTCCCCGCTGAGGTGGGGCGAGCCCAGACGGGGTACACCCTCGGGTGGGGGGTCCCCAGAGTACCTCTCACAGCCCCCCTCTGTCTCGTAGGTGGTGCAGCCGGGGGCCTGGGAGCTGGTGGTGAGTTGGCAACGCTTCCGGGGCCCCCCACTTTTGGCACAGGGTTCTGGGCTCCTCCACAGAGTGGGTGGGCTGGCCTCAGGTTGGCCTTTGATGTGGGGGACTCTCCGGGAGTTCCCTGGGATATACAGAAGCTCAGGATCGGGGCCTAGAATGGGGGGGACAAAGGCCAAGACCCCCGTCTCAGGGGCTCCCCCCTGGGAACAAGCCAACCCAGCCGGGGGGCTCTGGCGAGACTGGGGGACGGGCAGCCAGGCAGGGCCAGGGGGCAGCCGAGCCGAGCTGTGCGCTTGGGGCAGGGTGGGGGTACCGGGAGGGTCCTTCAGGTCGAGTGCGGGCAGGAGTTGCCTGAGACCCCCATTCTTCCCCACAGTGAAGCCGCCCAAGTCCTACGGAGGGGCGCTGGGGGCCCTGGGCTTCCAAGGTAGGTGGGAAGGACCCCCCCAAGAAAGCGGGTGGCTGCGGGTCTGGGTGGGGTGGGCGGGCCAGGTGCCCACACACATCCCCTGCTGGGATCCCTCCCCAGGCCCCCACCCGGACCCCCCTTCAGGTGGCTCGGCTACTGCCCGCTGACCTGGGAAAGGGGCAGAGCCTGGGGAGAAGGGGTGAGGGCAGGAGGGAGAAGGGCAGGACCAGGGGCGCAAGGGACTCTGGGTGCTGGAGGGGCGCAAGGGCCCACAGTGGCTCTACATCTTGCTCAGACACAGGGCCGCCTCTGGGGGTGAGGCAGATTCCCAGCACAACACACCCTCCGACACACATGCACAGCAGCAGGCACACACGTGCACACAGATGCCCATACACACACGCACACGCTCACACACGCACACTCACATACACATGCACACACATGCACATGCACACAGATACAGACTCACACACACGTGCATACACATAGACACACTCACAACGCACACACAAATGCACACGCCTTCACACATGCACACAGATACACACATACACACATGTGCACACACATACACACACATGCACACAGATGCATACTCACACACATGTGCACACATATATACACACATATACACATGTGCACAAACATACTCACACATGCACACAGACACACACACATGTGCACACACATACACACATACACGCTCACACATGCACACACACATACACACACATACATGCACACACACACACACACACACACCTCGCACATGCACACACTTACACATACCCCAGCGCCACCCAGTGCTAACCCCTCTCTCCTCCTCTTCCATCCCCATCTGCTCCCCAGTAGCCTGGACCCAGCGGGAGGGGCAGAGTTCAAGCAGCCTGGCTCTGTCAGGGGATCTGGCGCTCAGTCAGCCCCTCTCGATCCCTGTGGCCCTGTCACTCACTCCCGTCCAAACCCGCGCCCCCTCCCCACTGTGGGGTCCGTCTGCACGCCCCATCCCCACACTGCCACCAGGTGGCGGTAATGTGTCACCACCCTCCAGCAGGGGCGGGACCTCCTTGGCCTTGAACCTCGAGAGGGTTTTTTGTTTTGTTTTGTTTTAATGGAATCACAGTGAGATACACAGTAACAAAATTGTTCCTGATTGGGTTTCAGTCATACAGTGTTTCAACACCCAACACCCGCCCCTTCACCAGTGTACATTTCCCACCACCAATGTCCCCAGTCTCCCTCCCATATCCCAACCCCCGGCCTCTCCAACCACTGACCAGTCCCCTCCTGGCCCCTGTTTCCCTGGTCTTGGATCTTAGTCTCATTGTATATATGGTATATATGATATATATTATGATATATATATGAGTGCAGCTATTCTACATCTGTCCCTCTCCTTCTGACTCATTTCACTCAGCATGGTACTCTCCATGTCCATCCATGTATAAGCAAATTTCATGACTTCATTTTCCCTAACGGCCACGTAGTATTCCACCGTGTAGACATACCATTGCTTCTTTATCCAGTCATCTGTTCAAGCCCAAAGCGTTCTTTTTTTATTATTATTTATTTTATTTTATTTGCTTTTTGGGTCACACCCAGCAATGTACAGAGGTTCCTCCTGGCTCATGCACTCAGGAATTACTCCTGGGGGTGCTTGGGAGACCATATGGGATGCTGGGAATCGAACCCAGGTTGGCTGCGTGCAAGGCAAACACCCTACCCGCTGTACTATCGCTCCAGCCCCCAAAGCCTTCTTGAGGGTCAGACTCAAGCCCTCCTGGAGAGACACCTGGGCCCAGAGTCCAAGTCCCAGTTCAGACACGGAGCAAGTGGCCATCCCTGAGGATGACTAAGACCCTTGTCGTGTGGGTTTTGCCTCCCTGTGACGCGAGCAGGGGTCTTTCTGAGGCGCTGACCATTGTCTGCCTCCTCCACCAGGCGGGAAGAGAAAATGAGCTCCCCAGGCCCCCCGACTCGCGACCTCATCAACGTTGGTGCTACTGCTTGGTGGAGAATGTAAACCCTTCCTGGCCCCCACCCCGTCCCCCACCCCCCTCCCAAGTCCCCACTCCGGGAGGGGACAGGCAGGCAGGCCAGCAGTGGCCTGGGAAACCCAGAGGACGAGGAAACGAGAGAGCAGCCCAGGAGGGCCCCTGCTTCAGGGCCGGGGGCAGGCGAGCCCCCTCCCTTCCCGCCCAGGAACTCCCCCCCACGTCTCCATCTCCAGAAGGACTCGGTGCTAATGCTGGTGCTCTCACCTTCGGGGGGAGGGAGGAGGGAAGGGCAGCCTCTCGGGGCCCCTCCCGGGGCACCTCTGAAGCGGGCACCTCCCGACCCCCCCCCGGCCGCCCCTGGCGTGGGCCCCCTGGTACCCAGACCCGCAGAGCCCCAACCTGGGTTCTGCCCAACATCTCCGGCCCTAGGGCCCCCTCTCCCCACCAATGGCTCATTCCCTGGTGCACCTTGGGGTGAGGAAACCCCCATTGGGAAGAGCCCTCTTGCCCTCGTGGGCGTCACCTGCCCATCTGCCCTTCCGTCCGTCCGTCCGTCTGGTCCCAGTGGACCTCCAGGTGCCGCTAGCAGGCCGAGCGCCCCCACCATCAGCCTGGATCACTCTGCCTCCCCACCCCCCTCCCCGCCACACACATCCCCTGCTCGGGCCCCCAGAGAGAGCCCCAAGTGAGGGGTGTGCCGGCCTGGGGGGGTGGGATGTCCCCCCCCACGCAGTACTGTAACCCCCTGAGCCACTGTTCAGCCCAGTACCTGCCCGCCCGTCTCTTTGTGTCTCGCTGTGATAGATCAATAAATATTTTATTTTTTGTCCTGGATATCTGAGGATTGGTTTGATTACTGATGTTCTTCTTTTTTTTTTTTTTGGGTTTTTTTTTTTTGTGATTCATTGACCCCCCTTCCCCCCAAAAAAAATTTAAAACCCAGGGAGCTCTATTCCCAGCGGAAAATTCATTCTAATCACCTTGGTAGAACTCTGGATGAAACACTTTTTTTTTTTTAAATAAGAAAAGAGAATTAACTGCTTCAGAAAAGACTAATAAATGAAAACCTTGTTCAAGGAAACCGTCTTGGCCTTCTCTGTCTCTTCTGCCCCCAGTGCCCCCAGTGCCCCCAGGGGCTCCCCACCGTCTCCTGTGTCCACTCAGATATCTGGACCAGCAAGTCTGCTCACCATGGAAGCCCTGGGGGGTGGAGAGATAGTCCAGTGGGTAGGGCACTCGCCAGGTGTGGCCCCAAAACAAAGAATGAATATCCCTTTGAGGGGCATCCTGTCCTGTCCTTCGTCCTGTCCCCTCCTGGAGTGGGGGGTCACAGTCCTGGTCCCACTCCTCCAGCCCCCCCAACCCCCGCCCAGAGGCCCAGGATTCTGAGAGCCAGGCCTGCGGATGGCAGGAGGGAGGGAGGGAGACAGACCCTGCTGGGATCACACCCTGGGCCTTGCTGGACAATGGCACCCAGAAAACCAGCTTCCCCTCCCCACCCCCTCAGCATCCCAGAGTCCCTACCACTCCCACTGCACACCCACAGACCGACAGAAGCCCTCCCAGACCCTTGCCAGGTGCCAGTGAGCTCCCCCTCCTCCCCCCATCAGGCCCCCTTCCCATGCCAGGGCCACGCCCCTGAGCAAGGGAGTGCTGTGGATGTGGGCAGTGTTGACCTCACTGTCATGCCCACTTCTGAAGACCAGGAGGGAGGGAGGGACGAGTGACACTGCTGGGCCCAGTCCAGCGAATGGGGGAAGTCGAGGCAGAGCGGAGGAGCAAGAGGGAGGATGGAAGGGGAAAAGCATGGGCCGGGGGCCACTGCCTCGGAGACCCGCAGCCCTGCTGACTGCAACCAGCATTTCGTGTCGGAATCAGGAAGCAAGGGGCAGAGCCAGAGGCCCGCACAGAGGGTGCCCGCTTTACACACGGCCTTCCCGGGTTTGATCCCAGCATCCCACAGGGTCCCCCAAGCATCTCCAGGAGTAATTCTTGAGCACAGAGCCAGGAGTCACCCCTGAGCACTGCTAGGTGTGGCCCAAGTGCTGTGCTCTCTCTCCTGCCCCAGAACTGCTTCTGGGCACTGGGAGTCATGGCTGCTGTCCCCTGATCTTTCTCCCCACCACCCCAGCCTGTGAAGGGGTCACCACAGACACTTGCAGGCAGGCGCTGCCGGATACCGCCAAGACTAATTTTCTGAGCACAGAGCCAGGAGTAACCCCGAAGCATCCCCCAGTGTGACCCAAAAACTAAAAAACAAAACGAAATGAAACAAAAAAACAAAAAACTGTTCTTTATTCAAGCACCCCAGACAGACCAGATGGGGACCTCAGGGTCACTTAATTCCCTCCCCAGAGTCCTTCATGTTCGGACAGACTAGGGCTTGGAATATCAACATCTGGATTTGGGGAGCCACAATTTAGATTTTTCTGGCCACACTCGGCAGTGCTCAGGGCTCACTCCTGGTGGTATCTGGGGAACCATATGGGGTGCTGAGGTGAAGTCCAAGGCCAGCGCCCTCTCTGCTGCACACCTCTCCAGGCCTGCGACTCAGCTCCTCGTAGCTACCTCGGAGGGGAAATGAGTATCTTCAGCTTGGGAAAGGGGAGAAAATAGCCTTACGATGATAAAGGAGTCAGTTCATCAAGAGGACATGAAGGAGGCTGGAGCGATAGCACAGTGGGTAGGGCATTTGTTTGCCTTGCACGTGGCGGACCTGGGTTCGATTCCCAGCATCCCATATGGTCCCCTGAGCACTGCCAGGAGTAATTTCTGAGTGCTTAGCCAGCCAGGAGTAACCCCTGTGCATCGCCAGGTGTGACCCAAAGAGAAAAAAAGAGAGAATATTAGAAAGGTAAATATCTCTCAGAAATGGGGGCTGGGGTGTAGCACAGTGGGTGAGACTGCCTTGCACGCAGTCGCCCGGAGTGGACCCCCAGCACGACATATGGTCTCTTGAGTCTCGCCAGGATCGAGCTCTGAGTGCAGAGCCAGGAGGAAGCCTTGAGCACTGCCAAGCGTGGCCTCCAAATTAAAAAAAAAAAAAATTAAATTGAGAAATAGCTTAAAGGGCTGGGATACATTTTGGGGGGTGGGTGAACTCTCTAGCAGCGCTCAGAAGCCCAGAGCCCCAACTGGTGCTCCTTGGTCAGTGAGGCTGTGGTTTAGCGCAAGGGTCAGAAGGCGTGCAGCGGCTCTGAGCTGCGGTGTGGAGTACCCAGGTCACCCCAGGCTGCCCCCTGCAAGGCTCGGGAGACCGTGCGCTATTCGGGGTGGACCCCGGGCAGGGCACATGCTAGTCACCGTCTGACCACTGCTAAGTACACAAGGGAGCACAGTGACTAGCTCCACACTACTGTCCACTGTACTGTCCACTGTACTGTCCACTGCACCATTTCCGGTCTCTAGAGCACAGGCTTTGCATGCAGGAGGCCCAGGTTCAATGCCCCTGAGTACCACTGGCAGTAGCCAGAAAAATCATACACACGCATACATTATAGGTACATATATTGCATATAAAACCAAAATAAGAGGCTGGAGCAATAGCACAGCGGGTAGGGCGTTTGCCTTGCACGCGGCCGACCCAGGTTCGATTCCCAGCATCCCATATGGTCCCCTGAGCACCACTGGGGTAACTCCTGAGTGCAGAGGCAGGAGTAACCCCTGTGCATCGCCGGGTATGGCCCAAAAAGAAAAAATAAATAAATAAATAAGAGGCTGGAGCGAGAGCACCGCAGGTAGGACGTTTGCCTTGCACGCAGCTGACCAGGGTTCAATTCCCACCATCCCATATGGTCTCCCCAAGCAATGCCAGGAGTAATTCCTGAGTGCAGAGCCAGGAGTCCCCCCTGCGCAACGCCAGTGTGACCCAAAGAGCAATAAATAAATAAATAAATAAATAAATAAAATGTATGAATAAACAAGAAAGTAAAAACCTTTCAGGACACTCAGAAGTGTAGATCAAAGACATAAATGAGGAAATGGGCAGGAAGGTACCGTGCGTGAACTGGAAGGGCCGTGCGCCAGAACATCCCAACCCTCCAGAGTTAGGATGCTTGAATGCGCTTTCTACCAGACCTCCTCCAGTGACATTTTTCACAGAAATACAAAAAAAATTGTTTTGAAAATTCCCACCAGACCATAAGACCTCAAATAGTTAGAGCCGTTAGAAGTAGAACCAATCTGAGGCACCAGATTTCTTGATCTCAACAGAATTCACAAAACTGGGACTGGAGCGATAGCACAACAGGTAGGGTGTTTGCCTTGCATGCAGCCGACCCGGATTCGATTCCCAGCAGCCCATAGGGTCCCCCGAGCACCGCCAGGAGTGATTCCTGAGTGCAAAGCCAGGAGTAGCCCCTGAGCATCGCCAGGTGTGACCCAAAAGGAAAAAAAAATCACAAAACTACAATAATTATGAATGGTCTGACACGCAAACAGATGCTCAAAGCACGGCCAGTCCATGTAGAACCCACCCGGACTCGCTCTGTGCCTCCTCTGACCATCAGTGGGCAAACCCGAAGGGAAAAGATGCATCTCTGGGGAAACTGGGTATTTAGATGCAGAAGGATGAGACTAGATCTGGCACCAGGCGCTGTGTGTGGTGGGGAGGGCGTTTGCCCCTGGGTTTGATCTCTGACAGTCTCGATGGGCCCCTGACTGAGCACCTCCAGGAGTAATTCCCAAGTGCAGAGCCTGAGCACTACCAGATGAGTCCCCCCAAAAATGAATTAAATAATCTTTATTTCCCACAGACACAAAAATCTATCGAAAGTTGGTTTAGGGGCTGGAGCGATAGCACAGCAGGTAGGGCATTTGCCTTGCATGCGGCTGACCTAGATTCAATCCCCAGCATCCCATATGGTCCCCTGAGCACCGCCAGGAGTAATTCCTGAGTGCAGAGCCAGGAGTAACCCCTGAGCATCACCGGGTGTGACCCAAAAATTTAAAAAAAAACATAAAAATTTAATCATGAACATAAACCTGAAATGACAGAGCTGCCAGAAGAAAATAAAAGCACAGATCTCCTTGACAATAGTCTGGGCGGTGACTTAGGGGCATATGACCATCCGGTCCAGGCAACAAGAGCAAACATGGAGTAGTGGGATTGCTTGATATTAAAAAAAAAAGAATAAAATCCTAGGGCTAGAGTGATAGTACAGCTGGTAAGTCTCTGGCCTCACGTACGTGGCTGACCCTGTGTTCCATCCCCAACATCCCATACGGTCCCCAGAGCACTGCCAGGAGTAATTCCTGAGTGCAGAGCCAGGACTAAACCCTGGACATTGCTGAGTGTGTCTCCCCCTCCCAAACACACACTGTCACTGTCACTGTCCTCCCGTTGTTCATCGATTTTCCTCGAGCAGGCCCAGTAATGTCTCCATTGTGAGACTTGTTGTTACTGTGTTTGGCATATTGAATACACCACGGGGAGCTTGCCAGGCTTTGCCGTGTGGGCGAGATACTCTCGGTAGCTTGCCGGGCTCTCCAAACACACACACACACAAATAAAATTCTGTAGAGACAGAAAAAAAAAATAGGTTTTTGTTTTGTTTCGTTTTTGTTTTGTTTTGTTTTTTGCTTTTTGGGCCACACTCGGTGATGCACAGGGGTTACTCCTGGCTCATGTAGTCAGGAATCACTCCTGGCAGTGCTCGGGGGACCCTGGCGGTGCTCAGGGAACCATATGGGATGCTGGGAATTGAATTTGGATCGCTGTGTGCAAGGCAAACGCCCTGCCCGCTGTGCTATCTCTCCAGCCCCAGAAAAAGAAATAATTGACAGAAGAGACGCCCCATAAAATGGGGCAGGGGTAAGAGGGGTGGATAGACCAC